GTCTTCATCAGTGGCAAAAAGGTGGCTGCTTGTGGTTTTAGTAATTCGTTCATGCTTTGATATATCTTTTTTTATATATATATCTGTTACTAATTTAAAACTATTGGTAAATTTATGTTTTAATATTCTAAATCTTATTATCAGATATATGTTTTATTAAATCATTAATGAATTACTAAAACCACAAGCAGCCACCTTTTTGCCACTGATGAAGACTGAAGAGTCCTTAAAAATGAACTGGAATTCCTGTCACCTATAAACTATGGAAACAAACCAGCGTTTCAAAAGAAGCATAGTGATTAAAAGATTTAGTTAAAATTCCAATGAAATTTATGTTTTTAAGAGCCATGTGGTCTGGTTTGTGAACAGCACCTTTTCAACTACAGTACAACTTGTATAGCAGCTGGTTAACCCGAGGCATCTTTTGAAATTGTATGGAATTTGATAAACATGTATTTGGTATAAGAGAACACAAAACAAATGAACAAACAAACAAGTGTGTTTGTTCTTTCAAGCATATGCATCAAAAGCTATTTTGCTTGTAAGCGTAAGTATAGATATTTTGTACATTTTAAAATAAAAAAATTGTTAACATTTCTGAAAGTATGCATATAAACATCCTTATTAAAATGTAAACAAAGATTTTGTGTGATATGTTTACTCCTGGAATAAGTGATGAACACGTTCAGCTTTTCCCCAACCAATTTCTAACTAATTATCTGTAAAAATCCACAGTTTAGCCATGTTTGTGTTTTCCTGAAGCTGATTAGTTATGGGGGCCATTTAGAACCAGTTAATGGGTTTCAATAAAAGACAAAGTCACACAAACAGATACAAAAAAAATTACATAATCCACTTTTTCTGGTGGCAGGAAAAAAACATCTAATTTGTTCTTGAGTGTGGCTGTGGCTCACTTTTCTCGAGGCAGACTGATGCGGGGCTGTTTGGGACAGCGTTTGCTCAGGGTGAACAGTTTCCTGACAACCTTCTGGGCTTTTCCCAATATCAGTGCAGTGCTGGTCTCCAGCTGGGTGTAGCGTTTTTGGACAGATACGTCGGCAGACCAGAACTTCGTGATTGTGGAAACATTCAAAAACCGGTCAGTGGGCAAAAGCTTCAGAAAGGCTTTGAATTCATCTGCAAAAAATGTCAACAGACATGAAGGTTGGAGAGTAAGAGAAAAGAGAATAGACAAATTAGATGATCTCAGGTACATCAAAGCAGTTCACACTCATATTGTCATGATAAACTCCATGATATAAAAAAGCTTCTTAGTCCAAATAAACTGCAATTAGAGTAAACAATTATGCTTTAATCTGCAGTTATCCTCATCACTCTATAGCTATCCAACTAAGCACAAACAGAACATTTTCATTTATATTGTAAATTCATTTCTTCAAGCCTCAACACATTTAGCATTGCTTGTTGAATGGTCCCATTAAAATAAATTATACAATAGCCAAAAAGGCTATATTCTATCTCTAGTGTTCTCCTTTAAAATGGAAATGTTTGAAAACAGCATTTTGCTGCCTTCACAGGAGTTGTCCATTAAAAAGAACCCAAAGTAGAGAACAAAATGTAATGCAAATATATTTGTTAATGCAGCTGTATAGGGCTTGTCATTTTGAGCTTTTTTTATGTTTATGTACTCTTTATATATTTAGCAATTATACCACCTATATTTTGCCAAAATCACATCTTATTAAAAAAAGAAGCCACTTCTAATGAAACAAGTATCTGTATCAACAATACATTATATTTAGGCATCTGCATTAGTGCGACAAAGAGTAAGGATACAATCACATGTTGTCATCTAATGACCCAATAATTAGTGAGACAGTAAATTAAGCTAAGCAACAGTTTCAAACTGTAGCCATTATACAATAAGTTCAGTTATGGTACAGGACTATATACTGTACTGCTATGTTCACACTGCTGAGCTTAATGTACTATTTAGATTTTTTGCACAGATCAGATTTTTTTTATTTATTTTTATTTTTTGTGGAGTCGTTCAGATTATATTTTAAATGCAACAGTCATCAGACTCCAGTGTGAACTCTTGATAACCCTGATGCAATCCTCATATGCAGCAACACTGAATTTCTGTTACAGGAATGACATACTAAATGAGAAACTCATTCAAAGATTGATCCAATCATGCTAGTATAAATACGGTCTGACACTAATGTTGATATCACATGTTTGCTGTTGATTTTCAGTCAACCAGGACAAAAATAATTAAAATAAAATAAAAAAGCAACTGGACTTCTGTAGCTGAAGCCCTTGAAGTTTCAAGATTTAAATTGCACAAGGTTGGTATCAATGGATCAACCCACATACCTCTACCTCACTCATGTAAAACTCAGATAAAACACAATCACAGTTCAAGCTAGTTGCTTTCCAAAACATTTAATTAAGTGTCTGATTTAGTACCAAACATGAAAAAGACCTGGGTTGGATTAAAGAATAAAAAAGAAAAATCAGATTTGTGTTGTTCAGATTGTAATAACAAATCAGATATGTCATGCATATGGGCAAAAAAAGAAAGTAAAAAGATTTAGGTTATTTTTCCTGCTGTGTGAATGTAGCCATCATCACACACACTTATCACAAGTTATCAGCAACAATACACTGCACTTTCTTTACATTTTTAATTACAGGCAGATAATCCTACCGAAATTAATACAATTATAACTGTTTCTTGTGTCATCCTATACCTTAAAAACAGTCAAATAAATATGATGATAAACAATTGTAGTCAAAGTTTATATACACCCATCATAAGCATGATTGTGGAAATTCTCTAATCTTCACAGGGTCAAAATTATACATGCAGACCCATCCATTCCTATGGACATTATTTAAACCCACTTCTTACTTTTCAGGTCACGGGGTGTAACTGGTGCCCATATCCAGTAGTCACTGTGTGAGAGGCGGACACCCTGGACAGGTCACAAGTTTATCACAGAGACAAATAGAGACAAACAACCATTCATTCTCTCATTCACTCCTAGGGACAATTTAGAGTTACCAATCAGACTAACATGCATGTTTTTGGTCTGTGGGAGGAAACCGGAGCACCTGGAGAAAGCCCACGCATGCACGGAGAGAACATGCAAACTCCACCCAGAAAGGCTTCTGGCAGGAATATGATTGGACAACCTTCTTGCTGAGAGGTGGCAGCTCTATCAACTGAGCCACCTTGCCACCCACATGCAGGCCCAAAACATTCAACTGAATAAATTAGCAAGTGGTCCTTAATGGTCTAAAAGTCTCAATTTGTCAAATATACGACTTCTTAATTTCTCCTTAGGGATTGTGTTGATTATAGTTTTCCTTTGCTAAAAAAAATAGTATGTTAGTCAGCACATTAGATAAACAATACTTAAAACTAAGGGAAAATACAATAACCTCAGAAAAGATCTAAGAGGGTATTGGTAAGGATGCTCAGGAGCAACTCACACTGTTGCTAACTCCTTCTTAAGGAAAGTAGCTATTGGCTGCCCCAAAAGTCACTAGATGACATCATAGCCGCAGTTCTACTTTCAACCCTCCTTCTTTATCTGTGTTGAGGACTGAGTCTGTGTGAGACCTTCATCCAAAGTGCTCTATCAACTGCTAAGCATGGCAATAGAAGCCTTATATTGCACTGATGCATTGCACAAAGAGAATGGAACAATAAAGTAGTTATTTTTTCAAGTTCCTAAACTTCACCTGAAATTAACACTCTGCAAGGAAGACTGAATAAATGTCCAGCCATAATTATGCCAGAAACACAATGATGGCTTCAAAACGCGTGTGATCAAAATTCACCTTGTTAAGGGACATTTGATGTAAAATTTGTGGGAATGTATGTAAGTTATCAAAGCAATGTATGTAGCCTCTATGACCAATGGCTCTATTACTAATTTACACACTGTGCGAATTGAAAAAAACAATAAAAATCCACAACAAATTTAAACTTTTGCAACCCAGTTCCTCTACTTATAAACAGGGATCAAAGTTCGCCAGTGTCATAACTGATTTTCATAATTTTTAACATGGCCAGGATGGATATATGACATCTTTAAAAATAAGACGGGGGAATTAAGGTGTTTTTTGTTATGGTCTGGTAAATCAACCCACCCAATCTAATTAAGATACAGGGATTAAACTGATGCTGCATTCAACAAATAATGAAACTGAGTCATAGTTTTACCAAATCAGAGCAGAGCCGGTTGTGATTTCTGATGTACGGTCAGCCCGGGTGCAGCAGTGTTCCCAACTTAGTGTGAGACTGCAGGTGAAAGCTTCAATCATTCCATAGTTCAAGTCCTGAGTGAGCAGCAACATTGCACATAACCAATCCACTGTAGCCTTGGGAGACGCCAAAGCCAACTATCACCCTCTACCCCACATTTTGCACACCACGCCCTAGATCTTCCTAGACTTTTGTATCTAAAATCTAACATTGTAATAACCCCTGGAAGTCCCATTACAAGTTTGTTTAACTTAGGGAAAGAAAACTGACCTAATTTAACAACCTAAAAAAAAAAAAAAGTCCACAGAAATCTTGTCTACCCTCAGTTGCCCCATGCTGGACCCTTAAGCAAGGGTTTTAACCCCCTCCATCTGCTCCCCTATGCACCATAGATGGTAGCCCTCTGCCCCACACATGTTTCTGGCAGTAGCTCCATGGATGTATCAGGAAGGGTATCCGGCATAAAGCAATCGTCTTGTGACTTTTTGTGGCAATTTCAACAAACGGAGCAGCTGGAAGGGTGAGATGGGGGGTATGTGTACATATCAAGAATCTCCTGCATTGAGAAAAATAAATCTCTGCACAAGTGAACTCAACATACAAATAGCACATGCTGAAATAAAACCATGTATGATTTTTGGTGAATATGCCAACAACATTTAGGTCTTCAAACAATTTAAGTTCCATTATGAAGTAGTAAGTAAATTAACATGTCAGGTATTTGAGAACTCTGTTTTTTTTTTTTTTTAAACCAGCTAAGTGAGACCTTCTAGAATAATACTGAGTCTGTTGGAGAATCAAAATCCCATGTGCCGTTTCTAGCAGGAAGTCAGCTAAGAAATCCACAGCCAAGTCAACCTGCGCTGAGCTCAGCTGACAAGACTCAAGCCTATTACAGAGCTCAATGATCCCAGATGACACGACAGTCAGGTTCTTTCCAGCCCTTTCTTCGTGCATGTCTGCCTCTTCCCCTCACAGTGATTGTTCTCTTTTGGACAAGCAAGATGAGGTTGTCTCTTTTTGTCTCAAGTTGTCTGTCTCAGCTCCCTTTGGTGTGTATTTGCTTCCCGTCTACTTCCTGATATCTTTTTTTAAACCTGTTTTGTGGTTAAAAAAAAGGAAAAAAAAGAATAGCAACTCTTCCTGCTATCTCATCCATGCATGGTGTTCCTATTGTTTGTAGATTCTTATAAATACTTGGGAATTTTGGTCGATGCACATCTCTCTTTTAAACCACATATCAAAAACTTGATAAAGGAACTTAAATTAAACATGAGTTTCTTTTTCAGAACTAGATCTTGCTTAACTCTGAATGCCAGAAAACACCTTATAACCACTACCTTCCACTGACTGACTTGGCCACTGACTATGATGACATTATTTACATGAATGCCTCTGCCAGCTCCGTGCAGATGTTGGATTCTGTCTACCATGGTGCGCTAAGATTCATAACTGGTTGTAACTACTGTACCCATCACTGCACTCTGTACTCCTTGGTCAGCTGGTCATCATTATCTATACGTAGTCTCTCACACTGGTTCATTTTCATCTATAAATCCCTCCTTGGTCTGCTGCCTTCTTGTATCTCCTCCCACTTGTCACATCGTCAGTTCAGTTACAACATGCGCTCTAAGACCATCATTACCTGCAGCGTCCCCTCAATGCAGACTGAACTTGGCAAAAAGGCCTTTTCCTACTCAGCTCCAGCAACCTGGAACACCTTGCAACAGAAAGTGAAGTGTTCCACCTTGATTTATTTAAGGGGTTTCAAACATTTGATAATGTCAATAGAAAAATCAAAGCAAATATGTTCTTGTTTTTAGTATTTTACCCTGTTTTACGGCACCCGGGTTTATTGTTTTAAACACTACTCATATGTTAACTGCATTTTTACTGT